CACCCCCCCCCCCCCCCTTGGAGGATGACATTACTGCCGTGCTAAGGAAGAACGCCGATTGAACAGTCAAGAGTTGCCAAATTTCCTTCGATGAAACATGTATTTTTGACAACATTCATGCATATTTTTCCTTGAAATTCTCAAATATTTTATATTAAATTGCGTACAAAATTGTTTGAACATTTTGGAAAATAATATTCAGAATTTTCCCAGTAAATTCGGTTTTTGTCGAGTAAACTTGGCAACCTCTGAAGGCTCATGCGACGTTCTTCCTTAGCTGAATAGAATACTTCCTCTACCTCAGGGTAGCGAGAAAGTAAAAATAAGTGGCTTCAAAACTTACCATCATATTCGGCCAAACGGGGGCCCTTGCCCCCCAAATCACAGGGAACGACGTTCTCATCAACCATGCGGACTAAATCCTTGGTGGAGGGATGGACGAAGAACCTCTCGGCGATTTTTTTCGGGAGAAAACTCTTGAAGCCGTTCAAAACCCTGTCGATACCGGGCCCAGCATTGATGACGTGATACGCTTTGAGCCTGTCCGAGTAGGCCGTGAAGAAGATCTCCATCCCGGTTTTTAACCAAGGAAGAGACTTGAGGAAGTGCGTGTAGCTCAGCTCCGAGCAGTCTACAATTGTCAAGGAGTGTTGATGCCGGTCTCGCTCCAGATAGTAGAGATCCGTGATCATGAACAAAAGTTTCAGATTGTCCTTGATATCGAAGATGCTCGTGTCTTGGCTCGGTCTGTAAAGATTTCGAAGCAAAAATTTGAGACCATGAAAGATGAACGATTTTTTTAAGACAGGGATTTCGAAATTTTAATGGAATTTTATTAGCTTGCTAAAAGATTAGTGGAGAACGGCAAACTTCATTTTTGTGTCGACAGGATGCGTTACATCTCTTTATAATTGAGAATTTGCAGGTGTCTTAAATTTTGTGAATTTCATCTTTAAAATGGTGCTGCTAGGAGAACTGAGTACGATGATATCCTTGGTTTTTAAATTGGATAATTATTGGAGAAAATATGGCAAAATAACCTAATTGCTAAAATACATGTGTTTAAATGGAATATGTCGCCAGGTGACGTCACTCGGCGGCAAATTTTCTCTATTTTGAATCTATTTTTCTACAATTTCCCATGGCAGAAAAAAATTATGAAAAATACTGCTAACTCAGCTCATAACACATTCTCAGATGAAGCAACACAATGTTTGTGTGCAAATTCTCCATATCGCAGTTTTGTACCTTGATCAATTTGAATTGGAGAGCTTCCCTGGTGAAAAGGAGCCCATATCAAAAAATCGCGTTTAGGAAAAATGCATTTGGAATCTAAAAACTATTAACATAATTTATTATACGTCTTCGCTCTGGTATCGGAAACTAAATTTTAAAGTTTTTGGGGACTTAAGTTCAAAGATTCCTTGCCCACAAAATGGCCCTTCGAGATCTCAAAGTAACCATCGGCGGACCGTGGATTGAGTCAATCGGAGAGGTTGGACATAAACTTTTTGACTAAAACAACAAATGAAGTTTAAATCGTCACAATTTAAAGTTGAAAAGGTGCTTCTATGAGAAGATTTTACGAGGAAATCAACGAAACTACTTTTAAAATCTCAGAGTTTTATACAAACGAAGTAATAAGCTTTTAAAGTTTCCAAATTTCGTCCAACCTCCCCCATTGACTCGATCTATTCGTCGCTTGGCTGACATAAGGGCGTAACTACACATTGAGATGAGCCTGGAAAAGCATTGCATTGTATGAAGCCCAGGGTTCATCGCAGATTGTAGTTACGCCTTTATGTCAGGTAGGCGACGTATTGTGCGGCAGGAGTGGGGTCTAGATAAGCAAGATTTAACGCATTTGAATTAAAAGGCACTATATCCATTTTGACTTGAGCCCTGTCATGCATGTGTTCTTATTTGTCTCAAGGCTCATTTCAGAATAGATATAGTTCCTTATGATTTGAATATGCCCTATCATGAATGACTATGTTCAGTTAATACCTCATGAAGACAATACGTTCGCCCTCCTTGGTCCATTTATCGGATAAACAAATAGTGAATGCTTCTCGTGCTTGGATAATATCCTTCCCTTGTGGGTCTCGATTTCTCAGAACCTCTGGATATTTGCTGCGAAAGGAGTAGTAGTTGTCTATTTTCTTCTTAGTCTTCTCCAGTCTATACTTGTTGTGGTGCAAGAAGGTTTTGATCCATTCTTCGTCTTCAATCTTCGGCAGATGTGGCTCTTTGGACATCCACTCTTTCAAAGATTCCACATCTCGCTGGATCCCTTCCGGAGTCAACATTTGTTCAATATCCATACTCTTGAGTGAGGGCTTCCTGTAGTTAAAAATTATACTTGCTTAACTAACTTACAAGTGCAAAAATAACGGATTTTATAATTCAACTTCTTTTGAGAAACAGTTAACTTGAACGAAGTCGAAATTACGTGATGGAAAAACGTTTAAGAATCACAAACTGGGACTTTAACTTTTATTTATTTATTTTTTTTATTTTTATTTTTTGTTTGAGGAGTTAGAACCCAATGGACCCGCCTTCTCCTCTATACACCCTTAGGAATTTTTGGTGTCATTGGTGTATGTCTGAGGGTGGATAGTTATTTGGATTGGCATTTGGCACTAACTCTTTTCCTATACACTAAAACTTCGAGTTACTGAAACTTGTGTTGCCATCAAAATTAAACCAGAGCACTATTTTAGCGTCAATATTCGATACAAGTCCATCAGTTAGAGCTCAAAACTGTTAGTTGTCCGATAAAAATGTTGTGTTGATCTCTGTGTCACGGAGGTGGCATTGGCACTACATGCATCCAGTTACACACGCATACGACGAAACTTTTACAGAATTACAAAATTGAATTTCTTGAATAGTGCACGACAAAAATCAGTGAAAGCACAGGAGTTGAATAAATTTAACACATTATACTTACAATTTTACGGTATCCTGAAACAACTATCCTTAATGGTAGAGATCATACTGACACCGAAGATCCGTCACTAACCACAACCACCAAATCAATAAAACTGTCTCCACTAAGTAGAGCCAATTTGAAGAGACTGTAATGAGTTGGAAAAAACAAAGAGCGACCGGTGTTATGCGGTCGAGACGATAAAAAAAGAAGGAAAATGTGTGGGCTTATACAATGTGCCGTAATCGTTCCTCGTTGGTTTTTCATCGAAGTAAATTTCTACTGTGGTAAGTTACGATTCTGCATTTTCGTGGAATTATGTCATAACGAAATAGGAACGGACAAAAGTCAAAAGAAAGGTGAAGAAAAATTAGATAATGACAGTATGGTCGAGTGAAAATTGCACACCACAGGTAACAAAAAAGGCAGGATTAGTTAAATAATTGTCAGAGGATTACCTTGAGCTCGGTACTCAAAATATGTTATTTCATCGCATATGATTGCAACGTGGGTCCTGGGCCATAATATTAATATTATTTCTGAACAAAAAAAGTGAAATATGAATGGCTGATGTCAACTTATTTTTACTTCCCAAGTACTAAAACATTCATAAAACTTTTGTCATAAACAAGGGGAATTTGGTAAGTTGTGAAAATTGCTTTTTCTGGCTAGGCATTAGAAAAAATGTATCATTCGACCTTTCGCCCGCTACATATGATAATTTATCGCAAAAATTCGAGTTTCGACGGCTGAGATTCTTAGTCGTGGTCAGTTTTAAAACAGTTCCTTTCTTTAGGGACCTCGTAAGGTTTACACCGTGCTTAAGAACGTTTCAGGAAGATCCGTTACATAGTCTCATAAAAAGAGACATTTTTCGATTTTCGATACTTTTTTCGATAAAATACACCATGTGAAAGAAAATCGATAGTAAAAGTCGTCCAACACCTCCTTTTTTTCTCTAAGCAATTTATTTTGATGCTTGATATGCCATAACTTATGATAATAAGCAATTAACCAGTTGTTGCTTTACCATGCATTATTTCTAACTTATGATAATTGTATATGTTTCCTCTAATTGGAAGTTATAATGAATAAAACTCTTAAAAAAAAAAAAAAAAAAAAAAAAAAAAAAAAAAAAAAAAAAAAATGCCATAACTAGAACAAGCCTCTAGGAAAGTTCCGAGGCTTGAAATAAAATTCGCTTCTTCATTTGGTTGCTCCCCTACGTTGGCAAAGAAGCGGGTGGTTTGAGGGTTGCCCTTGGTAAGTTCATGGCCGAGGAAGTGACCCTGGAGCGTCCGTCGGATCGCCGTCGGCGCACAGTGAATCTAGTCCGAAGAAGAGGTCGGACAAAGTTTGGAAACTTTGAAAGCCTATAAATCCGTTCATATAAAACTTTGAGGTTTTAAAAGCGTTTCCATCGAGTTCCTCGTGAAATTTTCTTTCAGAGGCACCCCTTAAACTTTGAAATTTGACGAAGGAAACATCAAACTTTGCAGTTTTAGTTAAACATTTCATGTCTGACCTCTTTAATTGACTTGATCCACTGTGCGGCGCACGGTGGATCGAGTCCATAGGAAAGGTCGGACATTAAAGTTAATGCAAATTTAAAGACTAAAACTGCAAATTTTGACGTTTATTTTGTCACATTTTAAATATTAAGGGGTGCTTCTAGAAGAAAATTTTACGAGGAAACCAATGGAACAACTTTTAGAACCTCAGAGTTTTGTATAAACGGAGTTATGAGCTTTTAAAGTTACCAAATTTTGTCCGATCTCTTCTATTGACTCGATCCACTGTGACGTTTTTAACATAAATCCTGTAACTTTTTTCAACCTAATTTGTTTCTTTTTCTGCAGCACACAATTCTAAAAATCAACCACTGACACCTAAGAATTAAGTTTTATGCTTATCCACTCCAGTCTCATTCAGATCTCAATTTTAGTTGGTATGAAAGGAAACAGGAAAAAAAAAGGATGTACCTTCAATGACTCCTTTCGTCGAAAAATGTTGTTGTTAGCTTCTCCGCATCCCTGCAATCCATCTCATCATTCTGTCTCCACGGCGCACAGTGGGTCGAGTCAATTAGAGAGGTCGAACATGAAATTGTTTACAAAAACTGCAAATTTTGGGGTTTATTTCGTGACATTTTAGACTTTAAGGGGTGCTTCTAGAAGAAAATTTTACGAGGAAACCAATGGCACAATTTTGAAAACCTCAGAGTTTTGTATAAACGGAGTTATAAGCTTTTAAAGTTACCAAATTTTGTCCGACCTCTTCTATTGACTCGATCCACTGTGCGGCGGAAAGGCCCGGTCGCGTGACCGATGACCATGTACAGTGAAATTGAGAGTGGATTCACTTTCGTTCGCAATGACCACCGATCGGCGCGGCGTCCCAAAGTTTCACATTCTTCCGGGCGACCGTGACACCTGACAACCCGCAGTGGAGCAACTTTCCTACGAATTCGGATAACCGGAAGAAAGTCCGCTCGAACCCGAGAGATGCGCGAACTTAACCGCGAAATGTATGCGCGGTTTAATATTCAAATTTATTACGTTTCACATTTTGTCACTTGGAGTCATCTTCGTTTTATCCTTTGTATATTTTTTTGTATCGCCCTTCACCGGCTCCCTACCATTTTGATTTTGGTTAGTTTTAAAATGCCACGAATATAAATGCTGGGCTAATTGCGAAAAATGCGTTTTTGAATTTAAAAAACTTTAAATCTCTGTTTATTTTCAATAGGGAAAATAAAACATGATTGGAGACTTACAACTTTGCAATGTGATAGACGCATTCTTTTTCATTTAGCCACCGAAATGTCCGACCTCGGGTGCAAATGTAATACACCGGAAGTAATGAAACATCAGGATTTCACATTTTTTCTAAATTACTGGCCTCGCCGCTAAAATGTTTCCAAGAATAATTGGATTCATAACACCACACAGGCAAATTCCGGCTATTTCGTACCTAAAATTATAATTGTTAGGCCCTGAACTAGGGTTAAACGTATCCGAACACAAAATATTATAATATTAATAGAATTAACAGTTTCCTATAGGAAACTGTTAATTCTGGCGCTCAGATAAAGTCAGTCATAATTGAGGGGCTTGGAGGACAAAGCGCATAAGTGCAGTTTTTGAGGAAAATTATTTTATGTAAAACTAGTCTGAATGCATATTCTGTGAAAAATTCGCTCCCTAATTCCAATATGTAAGCATCAAAAAGTCAGTTTTATCTTCCCATATTCGCCAATAGCCGCGTAATTTCGAAATTTCCAACACGTTTTCTCGAAATGGCAGAAACTGCACTGATGCGCTTGTGCTTCATGCCCATCAATTCAGGTTCAACCGAGGAATTTTTTAAAATAAACATGAGAAATGCACCTCTTTACGCATTGAACTCGGTTTGGCCAAAAATTAAGATGAAACTAGTATTTTAGCATAGAATTTGCGTGCATCATAATTCCCTCAGGTATGATTCATGGTTGCGCTGTTCTTTTCACACTGAAAAAGAAGATTGGTATAGAGTTTACCATTCCTTCGCGCTGTATTTCACACAGCGTCAATTCAGAGTCAATTCTGCCAGAAGAAAGGTAAACGTCACTATATACTGGTACAGGTAACCTCTGGTTCCTCTGGCAGAATCGACTTGGAAATTGGCAGAATTAACCATTCCTTCACGCTATGTGTGTGCACTGGAAAAAAAACACATTGGATCTAGAGTCCAGACTCTTGAAAACATTGACAAGAAAAAATAGTCTTGATTCAATCGGATTTTTGCTTCAATCAAAACGAAATCCGCTTAAATTAAGAGGCTTGGCTCTTGATTTAAGCTAGATTCTGATTGAATCAAGAGTGCTTTTTCTTGTCGATGGTTTTAAGAGTCTGGACTCTAGATCCAATGTGTTTTTTTTCCAGTGTATGTGAAATACAGCGTGAAGGAATGGTAAATCCTACCAATTTTTTTTCAGTGTAGCATGATGTTTGTCTTTGAATGGTTTCTTTCACGTGGTTTCGTTCACTGTGCGAGTTCCGATCCGATTGGTCGAGCAAAAGGATTAATTTTGAGAGGCTGCCGACCGCGCGCAGGTGAGGAGGTGAAATTTTTCGAGTGGATTTTGGTTCGATTACCGCTCGCGCTCGAGTGTGTTGTCCGGCTTCGACTTCCTAGCCGGCTTCAGCGCCATGTCCGCCGTCCGGTCTCCAGGAGTGCAATTAATCTTCACCGGTTGCGCAATCCCGTTTGCCCACTGCCAGACCAAAAACGCGACAACGCACAATGAAGTTCCTTTCCTCCAGGTCGAAGATCCGAAGACTCGAGGGTTTTCCGCCGCACAGTGGATCGAGTCAATAAGAGAGATCGGACAAAATTTGGAAACTTTAAACGCTTATAACTCCGTTATACAAAACTCTGAGGTTCTAAAAGCGTTTCCATTGGATTCCTCGTGGAATTTTCTGCGAGAGGCGCCCCTTAAACTTTGAAATTCGACGAAGTAAACATCAAAATTTGCAGTTTTTGTTAAAAGTTTCATGTCCGACCTCTCTAATTGACTCGATCCATTATGCGGGTGGATCAAGTCTATAGGAGAGGTTCGACAAAATTTGGAAACTTTAAGAGCTTATAACTCCGTCTATACGAAACTCTGAGGTTTTAAAAATTGCATTGTTTTCCTCGTACAATTATGTTGTAAAAGCACCCCTTAAAGTCTAAAATGTGACGAAATATACATCAAAATTTTCAGTTTCCGTAAAAAAGTTAAAGTCCGACCTCTCTAATTGACTCGAACCACTGTGCGCCGTGGAGACGGAATGATGAGATGGATTGCAGGGATGAGGAGAGGCTAACAACATTTTCCGACGAAAGTAGTCGTCAAAGGTATATCCCTTTTTTTCCCCTTTTCCTTTTTTACCAACCGAAATTGAGATCTGAATAGGACTAGAATGGATAAGTTTAAAATTTAATTCTTAGGTGTCAGTGGTTGATTTTTAGAATTGTTTGCTGCGGAAAAAGGAAAAAATTAGGTTGAAAAAAGTTACAGGATTCATGTTAAAAACGTCTATCAACGTTGCTCCACGGTTCAACCGATTTTCAGACATTTTAGTTTAAATTGTGTACAAAATTGTCTGAAATTTTTGGGAAATAATATTCAAAAT